AGGAATTTGTTTAAGAATACACATTAGTCCGAATAAGGGATTTCCATGAAATAGAAAGCCTAAATAATACGGATAACAATGCTAATCCGTATCTGATGCAAATTCACAATAAATGTATAAGCCATACTAATGAGGCTCAAAAATGCCTCCTGCATCAAATGTATTCCGAGTCATGACCCAAATAAAAAAAAACTGACAAAAAAGATTCAGATGCCAATTTGAACATGCACACAAAAGGTATTCACTCATCCATTCACGTTGAAACCTATGCATCAACCTCTTTAAATAAATCCCCAGGTTCCCCAACATCGGTATTTGGAAATGATGCTTATTTAATGCAAAGTGAAGCTATGTTTCTTAAAAGATAGTACAAATCTGTGCCAAATGAGTAGCCTGTTATTTTGGTCATAAAATAGTTGCTTAGTAAAATTAGTAAACGTTGAGACACAAAGTAAAAGTAGACAGTGTATTTTTAAAAGTCCCTTCAAGGAATAAATTTTAACTCTGGATGCTTTTCTATCTGCAAATAAAATAAATACCTAAATTGCTGAGGACTTACCATATGCAAGCCAGCCAATGTGCGATTAGCGCGAAGAATGCGGTTAGCAAGAGGAGGATAGCTGTACCATACTCTGAATAACGATCCAGCTTGCGCACCACACCCACTAGCCGTAGGAGACGAGCAGATTTTAGAAGGCCAATAAGAGCGGCCGGCTTAAAAAAAAGAGAAAATTAGCGTTAAAAATAACAATTTAATTCGAAATAACAAGATGTACATACGGAAGCAGGTAATTTTGGGTGATGAGAGAAAGGTGGAGAAGAGGGAAATGAGAAGATAACTTTAAAAAATTCGCGTTGAGATGATTTTAAGAAAGAAACAATCTCCAGAGAAGCTAAAGACTAAGCTCCAGGGTCAAGAATATAAATAATAAACATATAATAAAGCATTTCTAGAGATTGACGGCAGACAATGAACTGTAGATAGTGAGAGGATAGGATAAAATGTCCAGCCAACTGAGCAAGAAGTCATGAAGGAAAAGGATGAAAGAATAGAAAAAATTAATTAAATCACCTGATCATTGGGATTGCGTGAAAAAACCAGATCAAATGGTATTGCTGCTACCAGGTCAATAATGAACCAGCCCTTGAAATAGTGAGTGGCAATCTTTCGTGGATGCGAGACAACCTCATCGTTTTTGTTCACATATGTGGTACGGAAGTTGATGATGATGTCGACAATGAACATTACGTCCACCAGGTGGTCCACAGTCGTCAGAGGTAGGCTGATGAGCTCACGATCTTGCAGAGCCCGGTTGGCAAGCTGGAGCTGTTCAGCATTGGTGGAGTTGAACATCTTCAGAAGGGAAAATAAGGGAAGAAATGTGAATAATGTACTAATGAAGATGTCGAAAAACGTAATATCTTAACGAAGGTATAAAGACCAGGATAGTCTTGACTTGCTAGGGGCGCTGATGGGACCTAGCCGAGGTCAAAAGTACAGTCTAATTCTGCCTGGACGAGAATAGCTTTTGGAAAGCAAGCCTATGTGAAATTCACTAGAGAATTGAGCACTTCCCATGTCATTGTGGGAAAATCCAATTGTAAATTAAAACGAAATTTCACCTCTACTTGTTGTTCTGATGGCCTGCTCATAAACTGGATAGGAATATCATCGTTTTTTATTAGAGGAAATACCAAGTTACCAAGGATTTAGTAAATACACAACTCACATAATTGGAAAATACATTTTTCTATGGCGTGGCTGAGTAAGTCACGCAGGTATATCCTAGGTGTTGAACCTTTTTAATCACTACTCAAAATATTTCTCTTTGTCTTTTTTGGTCCTTCATGTATCTGCCGTATACTAAACTTACATCTTGTGTATGTTCCTCTTTTTTGTCTACCCCATATTGACTTCCCTTTTTTATAACAACGCACTAGCCACATGCAAAATTTGAACTAAGAATGATTCTTGTTGCCTCCGATCTATCACAAGCCTGAACAGAAACTATGTATTTTAACTGAGTTTAAATGTAATGATACTACGAAATATATCACATATATTCTGAACTTTGCTCTTTTTTGCCATGATATGACTATGCATTTGTCAACGTTGTTATTTTATGACCAGATTATTCTGGTAATAGTTATTGAAAGTAGCAATTGAAAGACCTTATAAATAATCCAATTCTCTTTGAGATAACCTTATAAAAATTCAGCATGGCCTTGCCAAATGGCTCATTTAATTATAAATAAGTAGTCTTATAATTCTTTTAAGGTATCTAGCTGAATGCGATGGTCTTTGTTTCCGTTAGAGACTGATGAAAAAATTCAGCAAATAGTGACACGAATTCAATCTGTCATGCCCAGCATGTTGGCATGGTTTGGGCAAATTTTCATTACTTTAAAACCAAAGTAACCTTTACCGTTTCTATATCTCAGCTTTTATGCATTACTGATTCCATTCGTTGAAGATGTGTTTAAGCCTGGCCTTACTGTAAAATGTGGGTGGTGTGATCTCCTGTATCTGGAAGAATAACGGTTTCGCACGCCTAATTTTCTCATTATTCTTCCATATTTTTACATGCTTGAGGAGTTTCATTCCGAATGGTGGTGTTATCATTTAGAAAACACATTTGTCTGAATTAATTACTTGTTTATTCACATTTCAATCATGTTAACGTTATGAGTAAGTCTAACCTACAGTGTTTAGATCAACTACAAAGTTGTATTGCTGTTGAAATTTTTTTAATGATCTATGCTGAGTGGCTAAACTTTAAATAATAAAAGATGCTTGACCATGCTCTCGCAACTGAGTGGAACGCAACTTATCCGAAGTTTATAATATTCATGATTAGTTCCACAGTCGGAACGTGGACTTGGTACATGCCCAGATGTTTCGCCGGCATCGAAAATGCAGTACACCCTCTGAGAATATCCCTGTTGAGAATCAAGGCTGTAGTAAATTCATTAAGAGCACAAGACTTACCAAAATGAGTGGAAAATGCAAAATCCGGCCCATCATTATCTTAAAATTCAATCTTTCCCTATGAACCAAGTGCCCTCGTGGCTGTGTAACATAGTGATTAAGGTTTCAAGATTGCACGCCGCACTGCCACAACCCTGGTTCGAGTCCCGCTGGGGAAGCTGATGAGACCTATCCGAGGTCGAAACCGTAGGCGAATTCCCCTACCAATCCAGCATCACCTAACACGAAATTGGATGGTTTCAGTCATACTGGTTGAAGGGTAAGGTGCAGTTCCGACGATTGCGTTCTAAACAAAATAGCGATAGAAATGTTTAGGCCAATGAGGTTTTTGTTAGAGGGCGTCACCATTCGAGTTTACTGCACAAAATGAAAATTAACGACAATCTCCAAAATTCTAAGAATGAGTATAAAAGTTGGCAGGGTTCAGTGACTCTGGGATATAGAAAAGATTAAAGCTACTTCGAGGTTGACTGAATGATGTCAAGGTGCTCGGTAACAGACTCATTTGTGTAAAAATTAGAAAATTGCAAGTGGGCAGTTTTTTTAGTTCAACTATGCAAGGGCTATTAATCCCTCAAGGTACTTTTGTACACAAAGAAGATAATTAGCCACAAGGCGACTTTATAAGTCAATCAAATGAGGAAATGGAGAGAAATGAGTCTGAGGAAGAGAAAGAAATATGGCGGAGCTGGAGACTAAAAGAAGTATGATGCGTAGGAGAAATCGATAGACGAAAGGATCACAAGGGCAATGTGGTCGACGTAAAAAGCTACAGATAAACGACTCAACCGAGGCCTGAGTAAAACCGCCGGTTATTCAAGCCAGAGGCAAAGCTAAGCTGGTTGCCATTGGTGAATCAACATACAGGCACTTGATTAAAGTTGGCTTGATTCGCCTCGTATCTATCCAGTCCACCTTAGCTCGAGGTACATTGGTAAGACCTTTGATAATATCTTGTGGCTGGCACAATTTTGTGATAGATCCGGTGAAACTAGGACATCGAGGGGTCTCCCACCTGTTGAATTGGTTGCTCAGTTCTTGGTCTTGATAGTTCTCTTTTCGAGATACGGTTGCGTGAGGACCTTCGTTAAGGCGATAAGTGACAGACGCGAAAGTAGCATTAAATTCAACACATCTAGCCTGCCTATAATAATGCCAGACTTGGTACCACCTAAGCTATGTTAATGTAAAGACAGTCTCCATAAAGTTGAATGAGAATCAAAAGACCCATAAAACTAATCTTATAAAAATATAGCTTTATCGTAACGGATTGCATGGCCTGAATATTGTGTAAAGTCAGCTAAACGGCGAAAATTGCTAAATAAACGAGCTTTTATCAAATTTACAATAACTATGGAACATGGTTGCTCACCAACTACCTATTTAATTCCATAAATCATAAGTGAAAAAAAGTTGGAAATTCCGGAGAACATAGAAGTCTTTCATAGATCTAATTACATAAGTGGTAAAAAGAAGGTTTTAGGGCAGCATAACAGGAGATCGTGAGAAAAAGAATCTGGTCCGGTAGGACAATCCATTAAGAGATCCATGATTAGACTATCGTCTTAAATATAATAGTACAGCTGGAGCAGTTGAGAATGCCAAACTTGATAGCCGACATTAAAGGGTTTGTGTCAATTTGAAAAAGCTATCTTATGATAAATTAATTTACGGTCACATGAAGCGAAGAAGATAAGAAAAAATCAATTTAGTATAGGAAGTGTTTGTTAACGGTAACAATCATAAGCGAAATAGCCAAGACCGCGTTCTAATAAGTTCGAAGATGTTATGGAAAGGAAATAGGAAGGTACATAACATCTGTGTTTCGACTAGGAAAGAAAGGAAAGGAGAAAAATCGTAAAATAAAAAGATAGCATATGCTGCTTCGAGGCACGTAAAAACGCCAAACGTATCATGATCTGAAATACAAATCCACTAAGTGCTTCATTATTAACTCGACAGAATGTTGAGAGAAAATCTGTTGATAAAAAGAATGTCCGGACGGAAACAT